AGACATGACTGAATAGATGCTCAGTGTACATGCAAGAACCTTTCCTTCTTCAGCTGTTGGGAAAGAAGTAAAGGCAGAACAGTTATACCGAGGGCATTTAAAAAGCTACTAAAGTTTGGAAACTCTGAGGCTATAATGGGACATTCAAAAGAACTGAATAGCTAGTAGCCTGATAGGATTCAGAAAAAAAAAGACGAAGTAAGGATGAAGCATTACTCAGTCCTGGGAAGAGAGGTATAATAAATTATACAAAGGGGAAGGGCTGAAGGGAGGATAGAAGAAGGAGAGACAGAAACTGAGGGAAGACAGATTTAGAGATTAATGGGACAAACCGATCTGGAAGCAGAAAAAAAAGGAAGAAACAAGGAAGAAAAGGATTCTGAAAAGTAGCAAAGAACAGAAAAAAGAGTAAACCAAGACTGAATAGGACAGACATATATTCTAGTTTTCCCTGAACGCAATGCATTTCCATACAGAAGTGTCACTATCATAAAATCAAGACCACAGTGATTTAGCACAGTCAAACTGATATACATCAGCTTTCCTTTTCTTCTGGTTGGCAGATATAACCAGCCTCTTATTGACTTGATATTTTACTTTGGATGGAAATTTGAACCTTAGAGTACTGGTCCAACCAGCTCCTACATTTTATTTGAAAGTCATTTTAGAAGCTACCTCATTTTCCCTGGTGATATCATGCAGCAAATTATTTCCTCAAGAACTAAGTTCAAGTGTGGACTGGCAATAAGTTTTGAGTATCTGGATATTATTATTGCCATAACATGATTTTAATGTATGCAGGTCAGAAAGACTTAAAGAAAATATTTACAAACAGTACTAATGTCAAGTGGCTCTCCTCCTTTCCTGAAGTTTAATGAAAACATTCTTAATATTGATTTTACCTTGCATGAAAGTTCTCTAAATCAGTGAAATCCATTCAGACACTATAAGCATATCTTTGTTACAGTAACATGGCATTGCCTGGCATCATTATGAAGTTTTATGGCTGAGTGTCTTACTATGCATTTATCATCATAGCATATTTGAGTTTCTTTAGAATATAACAGTATATTTCAAAATCTTGACTATGAGGAAAATCAGAAATATCCTGTTAGATATATATATATATATATATATATATATTTATATTTCAGCTAGCCTCTCATCTTTAATTCCATTTCACAACTTTGATTTAGACAATCAGAAAAGAATTGAAAAGAAAATGGTAGTTTTTTCATGCTAGCAAAGAAGCTTTATAACCACACTTGGTCTTGCCATTCATCTAGGCATATAAAAGAAGGAAAGAGCAGAGTTAATAGGGTAAAACCGACTTAAGAGAATTTTCATTATTTTTATTATTATTCTAATTATATCTATAAATAATAATTATTATTCTTATTATTCTTATTGATGAAACCAGAAAATAGGATATTCTCAACTTTCTTTTAGCACATGGAATAAAAACAGAGCTTGGGAGAAGAATGAATGAACCGTTGAACAGGCTCTATTTTTCAGTGAACAATCCATTGTCTGTGTGAGCAGAGCTCATGTAAAACCCCACCAGTCCTGCTCCCCCCTCTCACTAGTCCTTTCTGGCTGTACTTGAAAGGCACTTTTGTCATCAACAACCTAATACCTAATCTGGAGCACCCTTCTTAAAGGAGTCATGGATGTATGGGATGAGTCCTACCTACTCCAAGCTGTATAGAGAAGATTTTCTGGCAAAGGTCACGAAATGTCTCTTCCTCACTCTCAAATTTTTATCTATACAAGACAGATTAATCTGTAGAACTGTTGTTGGCTAGTGTCATGTGCCAGGGCACTGCTGGGCAGGGAAGAGCCCTGAGGAGCTGGAGACTGGCACTGCTGAGGAATTGCTGTGGCTGCTGCGAGATATTTAGTGCTGTAAGCCATGTGTGAAACATCCCTTCCACCTTGGTAACAAGATCAGAAACTTAATTAAAAGTCTGGAACTTCTTATTATAATTTCATAGGTTAAGTCTTATGCTTTTATAGGAAGATATCCATTTTACATATGGTATAAAAGAACAGGGCTTGGGAATTTCAGGGCATGAAAAGCAGCTTGCTATTCCAGATGGTTTATAAAGTCTGACAACACTGTTTCACCCTGTAGAGCAGTTTTTGGAAACTATCTCCAGCTTACCAGCTGTACAAGAATGCAGTGACAGAAGGGAATACTTGACATATTTATAAGCAAAATTTAAATTATTTCCTATCCTTAGGGGAACAGATAAGCATCTCCAGTCTAATATGATCCTATTAAACACCAGAAGAAAAAAAGATGTAAGATGGCTCTCTCAGTGTATTTACGTTTTATATATCCAACCATGTGCTTGTTTCATTTGCTACTCAGTCCCCGTCATTGCTAATTAGGCACCTGGCTGCCAGAAAGGCTCCTCCTTTCTGCCCCATCCCAAGGGCAGAGGCAGGCACTGGGGCTGGGCTGGAAGGATTACTGCCTCAGCCTGACTGACCACCGGGTGTCACTGTCTGACAGAAATAAACTTGGGAAGGCAAAAAAACAAAAAAAAAAACCTTCTCCACTTGTACGCTAGAAGATGCAGATTTCATTCTAAAATCCTCTTCTCCATCTGACCTCTCATTGGATGAAGTTTTAAAGGATATTTCAAGTGGGGATGATTCTGTTTTAAAGGGATTTTGGAAAATGTTTTCATTTTTAGTAAAAATACAAGAGGCAGGGGGAAACATGAGAAAAATAAAGCAACTTCTGAGCATTTGAGACAGGCTGTGCTACTAAAATTTGTCAATTACATTTATTTACTGGCATCATAATCCAAGATGCAGATAAAAGTAGTGCTGAATTGATATGGTAAACCTTTTCCTCCAGATTTTCAACCTAAAGTATTAGATTTCTAATCTTTCTCAGGCCAACACTAAGCCTACTGACACTTCTAGTTAGATGTAAGAGAAAATGTCAGATTTGAAATTGGCCAAAAGTATAAAAAAGCTCATCAAGACAAGCCTTCTTTCAAAAAGACTCCTGCCTATTTAAAAAAGAAAATACTTTGGTACTCTTAAGAAAGGGAATACACTGGTACAACTTCAGAATCTTTAACCCAGATGATGAAAGTAGAAAAAAAAGTATTTTCTCTTAACAGATAATGTAACTGAATGCCATGCCCTCATACTGAACAGTTGAGAAGTACAACCAATTAATTAAAAAAAGGGGTAGTAACCTAGAAAAGGAGGATAAATTAATCCCAGGAAAATGGGAAAATGAAGACAGTACCTCAACAAAATGTACATTCTGAGTGGAGTAAAATCATTGAGTGTGATAGAGATCAAAGGATTTATTGCCTCCTGTCTAATAGAAATGGAAGGATTTATTGCCCCCCAAACCTGCGGCTTCCAGAAGAATGTACTTACTCCAGTGTCTGCTAAATGTGGATAAATTCCTTCCCTCACAAGCCTTCTAAAATGTGGAAAGATTTACTTCCTTCTGAACAGTCTGCCTCAAATAAGCAGCTACAAATTATGCTGCAGATGGTGCGTTTTCCTCCTCTTTAAGGAGAAAATTTCACAGAGGAAACCTAAAAACAAGTAAACATTTTTTTATGGATTTAAAAAGAGAAATACAACTTAGACAATAACATCAAATATTATGTATCTACAGGGGCTGGTTAGAAAGACTTCTGAGTTAAGGCATTACTTGAAAACAAGGCAATGTAATATGACAATTCAAAGGCAAGGTCATCAAGCATATGGGTATTTCAGCTTATAATGAATTTGATAATATTCTAAAATAGGTGTATCATGTAACCATGATAATCTAAGGGCATAACCAACTTAAGATTTGCAGGGACTTAATACCCTGTCTACTTGCACTGCTGGGAAACCAGGAAAGACTTCAGACATCCATGATCTGCTTCAGAACCAAAAGAAATGGCAAACATCAAGCCACAATTTTGCAGCTTCTGTTTCATATTCAGAAAAAGGTTTGGGTGCCCAAAAGCAAGTCTGCATTTTTCCAGCTACATCATCGGACCAATAAAAGATACTTACTCTGCCCATAAATCTTTCCTTGCTATCATTAAAATGTTAGAATATGTTTAAAGCTTTCAGATGTTACTGGTTGTTATGTAATAAAGAACTTGATTATACATAAAACACTGCTTATATGGAATAGCAGCCAGGTTCAAAGAATCAGTAACTTCAGAGACTATGAGGATAAATGAGAGCTTGATCAAAAATTGAAGCCGAAGCTGAGCATTCCTCCAACTAAGCAATCTTATTTGCTGTCAGGTTTTCCAAATCAATTCCCAGCTGCCAACAGTTATTAAAAGCCAGAAAGGTGGAAGTGCATAGGAGAGGCACTTGATCAGGATTTTATTATTTTAAAAACCTCAAATTTGTACAGGAATCCTGAAATTGTGGTGATATGCACTGTGAAGGAGTTTCACTGCGAGGATAACTCTCTAATAGAACAGCACCAGGATGCCTGGTGTCTGACTCCCACATGACTCAGACTTGAGCCTGATACACCTGAATGGAAGCCCTGAAGGTTTAGCTACCTACCTAATTCCTTCTTCAGGAGCTATAACAAAAACAGCTTGTATCAAAATGTTAAACATTCACTGGGCCAGTGAGAAACCAAGAAAAATCTGTTGTTTGAATATTGTGAGCTGCCTGCTTGTAGGCAGTAAAACGTATCAGTGAAGATAGGAAAGGACTGAGCATGTTTGAACCTCAGTGTAAACCAAGGGAAAGGGCTGACACAATTTAGCTGAGGAGCTGAAGATGGCAAAAGAGGAAAACTCTGGGCTTTCCATGTCTCAGATGACTATTTCTGAGGTTGCTGTCATTTCTTTCGATGTCTATTTCTTTAGCATTTAGAAAGGTGCTGTGGTTTGAGAATGGTGCTTCCCAATTCAGTGCCCTCACCAAGACTCTCCAAACCACGCACTGCTGTCTTGCTCCCCCTGCTTTCCTTTCCTCCTCCCCTGAGTGAGATTGGAGACCAGAATTGGAGACACAAAAGGTAAAGATCGTGGGTTAAGATAAGAGCAATTTACTGGAAACAGCAATGAGATAAGAAAAGGAATAGTAACAGCAGCAATACTAATGACAGTGCACAATGAAAGGAACATTATTGCTCTCCCTGGAAACTACTGGCTACAGGCAATACCCTTCACCTCCCTCTGCCATGCTACACCTACCACTCCCCTCTGGCACAGAACTGGGGCTCTGCTACCCTGACTGGAAGGAACCCCCGTCCCTGGCAATGACACGATTCATGATGGGAGATTATTACTTATGGACTACTGTGTATACAAGCATATGAGAGCAGCCAAGATGTCAAAGCTGTCAAAGCTGTCAAAGCATGAAACATGCTGTGGAGTGGTTAGTAGAGTGAACGGGAACTGGAAGAGACAAACAGGTCTCTTCTGCCATGGATTTTTGAAACAGAAATTTGCTTCCTCAGAATAGTATTTCTGGTGTCACTTACTAGAAAGTGCCCTGAGCTCTAGATTTTCTTCTCTTTTCCTTCTCACTTGTGCTTTTGTGGGGCCTGACTTTCCTGTGAAAAGCACTGATAGCACAAAGCCTTAAAAAATCATGTAATAAAGACAGGGGCAAAGATGTTTGCAAGAAAGCATAGGCACACCAAAGAGCTCCATGGGGCTAATCTATCCTGCTAGCCTTTTAGTCACAGCTCAAGAGCTCTGAACTAGTACCTGAACTAGTTTGTGAAGAGCTAGCACAGATATCACAGAGCTACCTGGCGGTGTAAACCTACCCCTGGAGCTATGGGATGATGTTGTCCCATTCCACTGCTCTCACTGGTACAGGAACATCTATTATCTGAAGAAAAACAAATAGGCACAATTCCCACCTCCTATTAATTTGCTGAACTCATCCTCCTTATTCTGCATTGGTATTGTGGTAAGCAATCTCCACCCCATGCTGTGTTTGCCTTAACACTTTGTTATAGGTCTCCACAGATGAATAGAAGAGATGTGACACTGCACTGAAGAAGCACTTAGAAAAGCAAAAGCTAATATTTGCTGGCTGACTTGCTTGTTTATGCTTGGAGCAGGAGTGGTGACACCTGAAATCCTATTGTTGTCTAGGGAGCAGTCAATCAAACTTCTGGAACCTCCACTCTCTTCACAAACTCTCGTCTTCACAAACCTCCACTGGTGTGAGGTGAATTGGCCCTGGTTGGCAGCCAAACTCCTACACAGCCTCTCACACCCTGCCTTTCCCCAGCGGGGACAGACATAGAGATAGGAAGGAGACTGAGAAAGCTCACGGGCTTTTTGGATCTCCTGTGGCTCAAATACTCAGGAAAAACACGTGTTGAGGTGGGAGGGAATCATAAGAAAGCTGGAGAGCAGGGTACTTGCCCAGCTATACAGAGGCAAAGCAATGACCTCACTCCTGCATTCGCACTGACCACAGCTCCCAAGTTTGTGTCAGTGTGATCACAGCCAACAGGGACAGCACACTGGGTGGCTTTGGCCTGTAGACTGTTGGACAGCAATGTCACAACCATCCTTGTTTGGCTTTAATGCTCTCCTTTGATCTCCTGACAACCCTGGTTATCCCTTTTCCACAGGGATAGCCCTCCTGAAATCCATTAGAAGCTCAGTAGTGATGAGCCACCTCCATTTCATACAGCTTCCCTGTCCCTCCTGCAACTCATCTGGAGCAGACCTCAGCTGCAGCTCCTGGAAGTGGAGCTCTTGCCGAGGTGCTGGCCTTGGTGGCCACCATTCTCTCAGCCTGGGCAGACTGACATGCACATGGCCTGGTGAAAGGCACTGGGGTGTTCAGAGGGCAGGTGGGACCCTTCGATGTGAAATGAAAATCTCTCTCCAGAACCTTGCACCTGAATTGCCACCTTTTGTAGCACTGAGCACACAGCTTGATAAAAGCCTTGATCTCTAAATGTAAATAAGAATCAGATTTGAGAAAATAATGCTTCAAACCAAACACTTGGAGTTGTCTTCAAGCTGCTCTGTAATATTAAAATTGAGGAGAAATAGCATTTTGGAAAACTACATTACATGGGTTTATTTACTGTCTATACATATGCCTGCTATTTTGTGGCTGTGCTTATGTTTACATATATACACACAGACACATAAACATTTCCAATCAGAGCAAGGCAGGAGCTGAATTTCAATACAGACTATTTTTCAACTCAATAAGCAACAGTGATTTTTTTAAAATAATTTTTGAATGATAGAATATTTTTAAAAATATATTTCTCTCAGCCCGTGTGAGCACACTAGAATATTTTGATGACAACTGTAGTCCAAATGGCAAGGTCCTGTTACAAGGAATTCATCACAGATGTAGTCCTTAGGCCAAATTATGACCAAAAGGAGACTGAAAATAAAATGTTAAGAAACAGCTGATACATTTTAATTTATGAAATGCAAACTGGGCACGATCAGTAGGTTCTGACATATATTTACTTGCTAGTAGCACTATGGGGCAATGCCAGAGCCATCGGTGAAAACTTTCAGCTCCAATCCCCCTCCCCTTTGGCAGCTGTTGAACATCATTTCTCAATCAGGTCCACTTCTCCAGCATGTCAGTGAGCTTCAAAACGTTTCTCCAGATGGCTATTGAAGCTGGGAGCAATGACTGCAAGCTGCATATTAAATATCTAAGTTCCTTGCACAAAGCTTGAGCCTGCAAATTCATGCAACCTTGTTTTTCCTGGGAGGCATCAGTGGGTGGATGCAGCTGAGGCAGGGAGAAGGCAGGATGAAGTGTGTAGGAACAGGGTAATAACAGCAATGGCATATCAAACCCATGAAAGTGAAAGGATTATCATTGATTTTTGTGGGATGTGTAGCAGGTTCAACACCTTATGTTGCTTCAGATAGGGGCTGGCCTTCCAGGCTGTGCAGAGCCTCTTGCCTCAAGAGCATCCCTTGGGACCCTCTGCTCCATGGCACACATGGCCATGCAATGTTTTCTCTGTCCAGAGTATCCCTGTTTTCTGGGAATATTGCCAATTTTTCAGATTCCTGTAGCAAAGATTTTGTATCTTTTTCTGCTCCTGTCACAGCATTTTTATCAGTAAGGCAGAGACAAAGAGCACACTTTGTATTTTCTCAGGAATAGTGATTAATATTGCATTTGTACTGCTGTGAGGTCCTGGTTCCTGAAGGTATTATGTGAGCAGGGACCAGCTTTTTATCACTATCAGCAAACCCCGTATTTTTCTGAACTCATTGTATAGTATCTTATGCCAGGATAAGATTCTTAGTAGCTAAGTTAGCTCCTTGCTAACTTAGTTAAATGCTTAGTTAAATGCTGCTGATCATTTATCTGCAGATCATGATGTGAGTTTAGGCACTTGAATCACACAGGGATATCTAAATGTGGAAGCATAACCTTAAGTGCTAAATTGAATCACATTCACTGAGCTTCAGAAGCTTTCTTGTAACTGTTAAGCAGTTTTTTCATATCACACTTGTACTCTCTCTCCATTTCACCCCTTCCAAGCAACCAAAGTAGACAAACAGCACCAGTAATACTAAATTCCATCCAGTTGTGTGCTGTCTCAGTTGCAGCACACACATTCCCAGTCACTCTGATTATAGAAGACTTCTGAATTTCTTCATCACGAAGTCAACCTGTATTAAAAATACAGTTTGTTAAAGGTGTGGTGGGACACCTTCCCTCCAGTGTGGATACATGGTTTTCAGTGCAGTGTGTCCAAATATTCCTCTCTCCAAAGTATTTGGTGTTAGGTGAGTCTTGGCCACCTGAAAATTTTATCTGAAGCTTAAAGATCCAGTAAGGACAGAAATCTCTACTGTAAAGTGAAGGATACAGCTGTACCACCATCTCACAAGGTGAGAATTAGTTCCAGTCATGTGTTGTGTGGCTGTTCAACTTTAATAGTGTTGTGATTGAACACAGTTAACTTCAGGAAATACTCAGTGTGGGGATTGTGATTCTCAGATTTTTACCCCAGGCTCTCCCTGGAGATGCTTACTGGATATGACAAAATTCTACTGAAACAGAGAAAAGATGTCCAAATCTGAAGGAAAGCTTGCATATTCAAATACTTCTCTGCCTTATTTTGTTCCCCAATCCCCCCAGCTGAATTAGTGGACCATTATTTTTCCTACAAATCTTTGTTTTGTGAAAACTTTATGTCTTCGCAATAATCAGCTCACAATTGTGTTCCCTGCAGGACAGGCACAACAGTATACAGACACTTTAGTGTCTGATAGCTTGCATGTTATTTATTTAATTTCTCTTAGTTACCACTATTTTATTTGTAGTATTTTTAAAAAAAATATTTTCCTCCAAGTAGGACTCTGATTCAAGCCAAAACTTTATGGGGAGACAAGAAGAATGTCTGCTGGATCATGCTAGCTTAGGAGAAGGACCCTCAAGAAAACCTTGTAGTTTATACAAATATGTAATCAATAACACCTGTGATCTGAGATCTAGACTTCAGCTCTTGTTCTCTAAATAATTTAGGAATTCAAGAAACAGCAAACACATCATGTCTGGTAGTCTGGACTGTTACTGAGTAGATCACAGTGATGCAGGAGTGCTTTAGTCAAATTATTAAAATGTTCTGCTATGATGTAGCCCATGTTTCCTTCAGATTTGAACCATTGCTCTCCAAGAAAAGCTCTGAATATTTTCCAACAAGTTGTTTCACTGTGATGAATTCACTATGTTTTGATATCTTCTGGGTATTATGTAGCCCCAGAACAATTTATTTGCCAGTAACAAGAATCAATACAGCTGTTTTGGTCTTGCTATTGAATCTAAAAGCACAGTATGTAGAGGGAAAAATCACTTTTAGGATGGACAAATAATGTACAAATATTTTCTGTGTTGCAAAGCAGCACTTCTGAAATTCCCACTCTTTTCTGAAGCCTAGGAACTCTAGACCAGACTAGGAAGACCAGCTGGCTGCCCACACAAACTCTCTGGTGGTGATGAAGAAGCCTGCTGGTTATCCTGCTAAACCATTCGGAAGTGACAGCTTGCAGACTCTTGGGATGTACAGATACACGAGAGAGGAGTTCAAGCCTGTTGGAAGCTGGTAACGTCTGGATAAGGGGGAGA